GAGTGTGAGGCTAGCCTGGTCTACATGGTGAGACCTTTTCTTGAAAGTAAAATAACGTAGATGCGAGGCGGTGGAGCCAGATTCTGGAGAGGTGAGCAGAAATGTTTACACACAGTGACTGAGGCCTGACAGCAAATCAAGGAAGACAAGCCTCCACTCTACTGGAAGGTAAAGGGATCTGTGCAGAAGGTCTCAGCACCTCTGAGTGTCGCAGAAGCAGTGTAGGACTCCAGCTGGAGTTGCCTCTTGCCTGGTTGCAGCCCCAAGCCAGCTGGAAAGTCTCATCCTCCAAAGAACCCGCTCCCCAGTGCCTTCTCCCAGCCCCACCTCTCTGTTCAAGGGAGGAGAAAATCTCTGAGCACACACCAACAGCAGGGCAGCCCCAGCCTGGGAATGAAGGCCTGACACTTCCTAAGAAGCCCTTGCTTAAGGCTGGGACCCAGCTCTAGACAGAAGGAGTGGCCTGGGAGTAGGGCAGGGCCTGGGCTAGAATCAGAGCAGTGGCTTTGGGCCTGCCACCCCCAGATGCCAGGTGGCAGGCCTGAGGGGTATGGGGGTGGCAGAAGATGACTGCCAAGCCCTGGCGCAACCCAGTCTTGCCCTGAGGCAGAGGGGTGGCCTAGAAGACTTCCCACACAGTACCCAACTCAAAAAGCAGGAAATTTAGGGCAGGGTAACAAGACCTCAAAGTTCTCAAAAGCGTTTTCTCCATGGGAATGGTGCACTCACTCTAGATGAGGCAAAGGCCAATGGCGGGGCAGAAGGGGGGTCTGTCAGGTGTCAACAGGGAGAGCCAGCCTTAATGGGGTTAGAATAATAGAACCTATGTGTCAAAAATATCTGGTGACCATAAGAGATTAACCAGCTGCACCACAGACAGGATCCTGCACCACCACCTCATGCAGCCATGGGGGCACACAAGCTCCAGACCACACAGCCATCTCCACAATCCCACACCTTTACATGCAGCCAAACCCACACACACAGCTAGGTGTGGTAGCTAGCACTCCCAGCGCCGGAGGTTGAGGCAGGAGTACTACCATGAGTTAGAGTCCAGCCTGAACTACAGAGTGAGATCCTGTCTCAAACAAAACAAAATAAACAAAAACCTACCTTCACTATACCCAAGACACAGCTACCCAGGGTTGTGTGTACAGGCATGCACACACATGCACACCCACAGATACACAGACACACAGTGTGCACATATATCCCTGGGCCCCAAGCATATCATTCACAGGCAGTAATCGAGGGTCTGGAGACGTGGCAGGGATATGGCCCAGGGACTCCCTGCTTCTGTGAATGACCTCAGAGGACTTTAGAACAGGGACTGCTGAGGAAGGGGTAAGCAAGGACACTCTAGAGAAAGGTGACTCTCCAACAAAGAGGAAGAGCCATGAGCAGCACGCGAGAAAACCAGAAGATGGGTGTGAATGTGGCTTATCTAAGGAATCTCTACGTCACTGGGTCCCACCAGTGTGACCAAGGAGGTATGATCAAAGGGACAGTGTGAGACAGGAGACAAAACAGCAGCTTATTTGTGGCCTTGGAGAGAGTAGGTATTAGTCTCAAGCTAATGACAGTCACTGCGAGACTTCAATAGATCTGATTTATCTCCTTAGGTCACTGACTTGAGGAAACCAGGGCAGATACTGTTATGCCCACTCTCGGAGTGGCAAAAGCATTTCTAATCATGACCAAACGCAGAGACCTTAAAAACTACACATCTGACTATATAATGTTTAATTCTGCATGGCAAAAAAACTACATATACAATTGGTACTCACTGGCAAAACTTCTGCAAAGGATAAGTCCCATGTCCAGGAGTAGTTTGCTAATACAAAACAAACTCAGTGGTGTGTGTGTGTGTGTGTGTGTGTGTGTGTGTGTATGTGTGTGTATGTGCGCACGCGCGCACACACGGACTTTTTGTTTCATTTTGGCATTTTTTTTGTCTTATTGGCCTTTTGCTTATTTTGATTTTCATTTTTGAGTTTTTGTAGGGGCTTGTTATTTGGGGGTTTTGTGGGTTTTTTGTTTTTGAAAGAGAGAAAAAAAGAAAGAACAGGGGCTAGAGAGATGGATCAGTGGTTAAGAGCACTGACTGCTCTTCAGAGGACCCGGGTTCAATTCCCAGCACCCACATGGCAGTTCACAACTGTCTGAAGATCTAGTTGCAGGGGATCTGACACCTTCACACCAATGCACATAAAATAAAGCTAAATAAACCCTAAAAAATATTTAAAAAAAAAAGAAAGAACATAAAGTTGAGTGGTCGAGAGGTGGGTTGGATCTGAGAAAAGTTGGGGAAGGTGCATAACATGATCAAAATATATCGCATAACTATTTTTAATTTAAGAATGCATATGCAAAGTCAAAAGACAGTTCTCTAGTAGAAAAAACCCTATCTGTGTCACAGACAACATCTCCTTAATACGCAAAGCATTCCCAAGAAGCAAATAACAAAAAGGCAGTTGCCTGTGGGAAATGGACTAAGGCAAAGGAACGTTTACAAGAAAAAAATCCAACAACAAAATGACTCTTCAAATACTCTCAAAGACTAGGATCTCTTAAAAGAAGCAAAAATACACATACAATGTAGCAACAATCATAAAATTTGATAATGCTCTCTCGTGGCAAGGACTGGGGAAAACCTGATATATCATGGTAATGCCAAACAAGGCATCCACGGAAGGGACTCGGCAATATCTACCAAAACATTAAACAGCACATCACCTTAACCCACAAGCGCCACTTCTGGGAACATACCCTACAGACATCATCTTAAATAAGTTAGGGCTGAGGACATGCTCAGTATGGAAGGCACTTGCAGAGCAAGCGTGAGGACCCTAGTTCAGATCCTCTAGACCCACCCATAGTCAGACACGATAGCTCACAACTGGAATCCCTGCACTCCTATAGTGAGATGGGTGTGGAGGCGAGGCAGGGGACTTCCTGAAAGCTCAGGGCCAGCCATCCTGGTTACAAAGCAGTAAACAAGAGACCCTATCTCGGCCACCCGGTGGTGGCCACGCCTTTAATCCCAGCACTCAGGAGGCAGAGGCAGGTGGATCTCTGTGAGTTCAAGGCCAGCCTGGTCTACAAGAGCTAGTTCCAGGATAGGCTGCAAAGCTACAGAGAAACCCTGTCTCAAAAAACCAAGAGAGAGAGAGAAAGAGAGAGAGAGAGAGAGAGAGAGAGAGACCCTGTCTCAAACAAGGTGGAAGCTGAGAGCTGACCTAGATTCAGGAGCAGACATTGACTTTCACACACTCATGCATGCGTGTGTACAGAAGAAAAAGATAGGTCAAATAATATTGTTCAAGGAGATTTGTTGCAGTGGAAGGAGCAAGAGGGGAAGGAATAGGTGGGGAAGAGAAAGAGGAGGGAGGGAGGAGACAGAGGGAGGGGCCAGGCCAGTAAGTGCTCTGCCAACTCTGCCATACTTGCCTACCACACTTGCCTAGCCCTGAAAGAAAGGACTGGAAGCAGCCTTAATTTCCATCTGTGTCCGACTTCTAACATGATAGTGTAAACGCAATCTGCCTCTTTAAAACAGCAAAAGAAAGCACCCTGTCTGCTGAGAGGAACAAATCAAAGCACTCAGTGGTACACAGAGCACCCCGCCATGGCTTCTCTATAGTTAGATGTGTGCAGGTTGTTCTAGAAGGAGAACCAGAACCTATTAGCTGGGTGGACTTGTGGGAAGCCTAGTTATGCAATCTTGTGTGTGTGCGAGCTTGTCGGTGAATGGGTAGGACTGGGTGAGCTCACCTGGGATGGGAGATGCTGGGCCTGGCCCAGAGCACCCACAAGAGAGACCTGAGGAAAGGCATCCCAGGGACCAGGAAGTTGGGACGGTGTCAGGGAAGCTGGGGGAGGAAGGTGCTCTAAGCTGCTTCAGAAGGTCAAGGATTTACGTCTGTGGGATTTAGACTGATGGAGTCCCAAGTGACCTTGACGAGCCTTTCCCTAGTGACGCAGTGGCGACAGGAGTTCGGAAATGGGGGCAGGAGTGTTGCTCTGACGTAGGAGAGTAATAGGTGATAAGCAGTCTGTGGCAGGGTCAGGGTCCCCCCATGTCACACAGTGACATTAGCAGAGCCATCCAGAAACCCCCAGCACTGCTCAGTCACGGTACTGATAAGGGCCGTGCCCATAGCAAGTACAAGATAGCCTCATCCAAAGCCATCTTTACTGAGCTCTCTGGAGCCAGCTGTGTGACTTCTTCCATGTGGACCTGAGCACATCACTCCGTTTTCCTCCTTGAAGTACAGAAGCAAACGGAGATATTTCATTTGTATGCTGCCAAAATGGCATAAAGCACATGGAGGAAGCAGCCTTGTCCCGGAAAGCACAGCTCAGGAGCACAGGAATCCCTCCGGGTCATAGGAGAACACAGTAGTGGATCCTCCTAACAATGGGCGCCTTTTGTAGATTAGAAGCTGGCACCAGTGGATACAGCAAGTGGGATGAATAGTCACCAGGGTCAGGCAACAGTCATCTCTGTCTAGACAGTGAAGCCTCAGGCAGGGTTGTGACTAAGATTTGGGGATCCCCGGGGAAAAAAGTTGGGTTTCCATTCCTGGGATTCTAGGGGCTTTCGGGATCCCAGTCCTGACACACAAATAAGGCTAAGTGTCCCTGGTCTCCAAAGCCCAGTTTAGGAGCCCCTCAAGGCCTCCGCCCTTCACAAGCTCTGCCTCCCATGCGGCTCCACACACCCTTCGACAGACTGGGTCCTCTGAAATCGCTCCAAGCACAACCACCCTTGCTCCTGAGATTTCTTTTCCGGGTTGTGTCCCTTCAGGCTGCCAGCCCAGAGTTGTGAGCCCCGCAGGACTGTCACAAAGACACATCTGCCTGCCTGGAGATTGTCATCAAGGACGCAAGCAGGGCAGGAATCCCCGCCCGTCCTGCGGTGTTCCAACGCAGGGTTGAGACCTTGTGGCAGGCGGTGATCCAGAAGGGCAGGGCGCAGACCAGAGTATCTGTGGTAACCACCACTGTGGGCTGGGCCAGTCCTTTATTGCCATCCCTCCTGCCAAGGCACTTAACAGTTTCCAAAGTGTTTCACGCCCTCATGTCATTGTAGCCTCTGCAACAGCTCTGTCAATGGCCATCAATGCCCCCTTTCCACGCCAGCAAGCCGAGGCCCTGCGAAGCAGCCTGGGGCTCCCGGGTCTGCAGCTGCTTCGGGATTAGAACTCGGACCCCTGAGGCGACTCCAGGCTCCTCCTCCAGGCCGCCCCTCCTCCACGCCACCTCTATCCAGGAGCCTCACTGAGGCCACAAAGCCGGGCTTGGCTCCCACCTCGTTCCTCCTCTGCCGTGGGTCTTGGGCACTAGGAGCCACCCAACGGAGGCAGCGCCGCTGACCGTAAGTACCGGGAAGGGGCGGCAACAATCCTGGGCACTGAACACCCCTCTCTATAGAGAGCTCCTGGTGGGCTGGACTGAAGCCTGCCCACGCGTCCAGGCTGAGGATAGAGTGCTGCAGAAGGGCAGTGGAGAGACTGCCTTGCTTCCCCCCAACGCGCGCGCGCACACACACACACACACACACACACACACACCACAAAGCATTTTGGACCCGGTGGCGGTACTAGCCGCTGGAAGGCTGCCAGAAGGACGCCCCCTTCCCAGGTTCACAAGCTCCCAAGCTACCTGGAATAGAAGGAAACTAGGGTCCCGGGCCCAAGTGGGGAGCTCTACCTTTGGAGTCAGCCACAGGGAGGGGTAGAAAGCAAGAGACGGAGAGGTTCTGTCTTGCACCTGGATAAAAACGATTTTTTTTGGCAGCTGGAGTTAGGGGGCGACGGTGGATCCAGAACCGGCTCCACCAGTCCCCAGCACGGGCTAGGCGGGAAATATTTTGCAAGTGAGTCTGTCTCGGGTGTGTCTTAGGAGGAACTGGGCAGCCTGCACGAAGAATAGGGAGCTCCAGAGTGGGGGAGTTGCTGCAGTATTAGAGAGTACCAGTAAAAGGAACCCCCCTCTCCTCCCCCTACCTCTCCCAGAGCACGCCTTGGAAGAGCAGGCCAGAGAGGGAACAGTCGCAGATTCTTGCAGCAACCCAAGATAGGAGATAAGGAACAGGGTTAGCGACATTACAGACCTCTTGGATGTCCCCTAGCTAGTAAGCGACAGTGGGAGATCAGAATCCAGGTGCTAATCCATGGCCCCTCCGTAGAGGCCAGGGCTTAGACAGTATCCGGAGCAAACCCTTGAGGGTCCGAGTACTAGGGCTTCACGGTCACCCGCATCTTGTCCAGAACTGAGGTTCTCAAAAGACAGCTCCTGTGGAAGGCAGCGATACTGAGGAAGTGTACTGCCTTCTAACTCCTCTGCAGTCCCGGCCAGCCCTTCCACCGCCTCTCTGAAAACTCAGCTTTCCCCATTCAGCGTGAATTGAGCGCCTACTGTATGCTGAGTTTTGTGTATCAAACTTAGAAGCAGCCAGCCAGTCAAGTAGGCTTGCTAATTGGACAGACAGATGATAGAAGAGAACAAAAACAAACCAACAAAAAGAAGACCAAGACTTGAATTTCACACTGAGACTGAGGGCTTAGGAAAACAAAGGGAACTGGAACAGACTAGCTGGAGCAGGTTCAGACCTGAAGTCCTTTGAGAGGAGACCCTAAGGGGATGTTGTTGGAGCCCGGACACTTAAGTAGTGATTTAGGATCCAGCCACTTAAGGTTCTAGAGGAAGACCATTCCAGGCAGGAGCAATCAAGGCAAGGTCTGGGCAGAGAGAGGCAAGGTGAGTGTGCACGTGCGTGTGTCTGCACGTGTGAGTACGCATGGGGGGGGGGGTGACAGGGCTGTAGACTCTTGGGGTTGTGATTTAAGCACAGTGAGAGGGAGCGAAGAGGTTTAAGAAAGGGAAGTGTAATCATTTGTGATTTAATGGGCTTCAGGGGGCAAGGAATAGCTCCCAGGCCCATGAGGAGACTGTGGCAGGAATATGGATAAGGATAATGACAGCTTGGGCCAACGTGGTGGTCCAGTAGTCGTCCGGAACAGCCTCTGAAGCACTCCCGTGCACATTCAGGTCCACGTGGGCTTGGGGAGAGGTAAACACTCTCACACCCCATCAGCATGCCAACCCCAGGTACACTCATCTGACCCACCTGTCTACACCCGCTGAGTCACCCAGAACTGGGAGGAAGATGAGCCAGCCTGATCAGTCTCTACAAAGCTGTGGCCAACAGCAAACCCAGGGAGGTGGCTAGGATCCCCCAGGCCCTGCTGTCTCTACATAGCTTCTGAGATGAGTGTCGTCCTAGGAAACAGACCCAAACCCCTGAGCATTTCCTCTGGTGCCAACCTCCTGCCTTTACTACCACTGACTGCAATGTTGGCAGACCTTGGCGATGGGGCGATAACTAAATCTTTAAGAGCACTGGCTGCTCTTCCAAAGCACCTGGGTTTGATTCTGAGCACCCACGTGGCAGCTCACAGCTGTCTCTAACTACAGTTCCAGGGGATCTGATGCCCTCTTCCTGCCTCCATCTGCACCAGGCACCCATATGGTGTATAGAAATACATGCCAGCAAAATTCATACACCTAAAAGTAAAATGTAAATAAAAAGAAAAATTATTACCAGGTCCTTTCTCCTCTTCCAGCTTCAGTGGCCTCTTTGTAGAACAGGTTCACAACACCATGCTGTTGAGACATCAATGAGGGAACAGTTTTCAAAATTGTGACTTGGGGCTCAGTCAGTACTGGCCTAGCATGCCCGAGGCCCTGGGGTTCCATCCTCAGTACCACATAAAATGGGCATGGCATTACACTCCTGCAAAACCAGCACTCAGGAAGCAGAGGATGGGGGACTAGAATTTTAAAGTTATCCTTGGCTATACAGAGAGTTCAAAGCCATTTCGAGATACTGTCTGAAAAGGGAAAGAAAAAAAAAAGGGTCTGAGGTGGGCATCCAGGAAGGGAAGGAAGAACATGGGCCTAAGTCCAGTCCTCTTCATGCAAATTCCTGGCCTGCCTGCGCCCTGCAGTCATGAGTCACCAGCACTTATCGGACACTCAATATGATCTGTAGTCATTTGATTATCAGCTTCTCCATCCATTAGCTGGAAGGGGAGTGGGCACCACTCCAGGGTGCCCTCCCAAAGGGTTAAATGAGGGGAGAGGGAGAGAGAGAGAGAGACAGACAGAGAGAGAGAGAGAGCGCGCGCACAGGAGAGAGCTTGTGAGCACCACGGTAAAGGGTCATTGTCTGCAATACACTCTAATCCTGACTGGGCGGGTTGCCTATTCCTCATGAGCCTCCATGTCTTATCTGTGTCTTGGGAAGGGTCATCACCTCTTAGATCCTGGTGATGACTGACCAGGTCCACCCAAAGGAAAAGCTCAGTGAGTGTGGGCATGGAGGTGCACACCCTTACTCCCAGCACTCAGGAGGCAGTCACTAGTTCCAGGCCAGTCTAGGCTACATTGTGAAACTTGTTTTGTATTTAAAAAAATAAAAATGCAAATGGACGAGGGGTGGAGAGATGGCTGAGCCTGGGCTACATAGTGAAATTTGTCTTTCTTTCTTTCTTTCTTTCTTTCAATCCAAGGTCTTGTGATATAGTCCTAACTGTCCTGAAACTCACTGTGTAGACCACTGTACCTGGCTTATTTTGTTTTGTTTTGTTTAAAAAGAAAGAAAGAAAAAAAAAGGAAAGAAAAGAAAAGAAAAAAAGTCAGGCCTGGATTGGTGGCTGAGCAGTTAAGAGATCTATCAAAGGACGAGAGTTCAGTTCCCAGCACCCACATAGTCTGGTGGCTTACAATGGTCTATCAACGCCAGCTGCAGAGGATCCCACACCCTCTTCTAGACTCGGTGGCATGTGCACATATATAAACAATAACACACATATCCATAAACAAAAAATAATATTTTTAATCATTATTTAATTACAATTAATAGTCATCAAGCGAACCATTAGCATAACGGTTTTCTCCATCGTTCCCTCAGGTGGGTACAGTGCCCCTCTCCCCAGCCGTGAGCTGGCGCCATGGACTGGAAGAAGCTCCAGGACTTGCTGAGCGGTGTGAATCAGTACTCTACAGCCTTCGGGCGCATCTGGCTGTCGGTCGTGTTCGTCTTCCGGGTGCTGGTGTATGTGGTGGCGGCTGAGCGCGTGTGGGGTGACGAGCAAAAAGACTTTGATTGCAACACCAGGCAGCCTGGCTGCACCAACGTGTGCTATGACCACTTCTTCCCTATCTCCAACATTCGCCTCTGGGCCCTGCAGCTCATCTTTGTCACGTGTCCCTCTATGCTGGTCATCTTGCACGTAGCCTACCGCGAGGAGCGGGAGCGGAAGCATCGCCAGAAGCACGGGGAGCAATGTGCCAAGCTGTACAGCCATCCTGGCAAGAAGCACGGTGGCCTGTGGTGGACCTACCTGCTCAGCCTCGTCTTCAAACTCATCATTGAATTCGTCTTCCTATATGCCCTACACAAGCTCTGGCACGGCTTCACCATGCCGCGTCTGGTACAGTGTGCCGGCGTGGAACCCTGCCCCAACACCGTGGACTGCTACATTGCTCGGCCCACGGAGAAGAAAGTCTTTACCTACTTCATGGTAGGCGCCTCCGCTGTCTGCATTATTCTCACCATCTGTGAGATCTGCTACCTCATCTTCCACAGGGTTATGCGAGGCCTGAGCAAGCCTAAAAAGAGTGGCATCTCCCCAAAGTCCTCCAGCCGAGCCTCCACTTGCCGCTGTCACCACAAGCTTCTGGAGAGCGGGGACCAGGAACCAGACCCAGGCGATGCCAAGCCGCAGGCTTCAGCTCCCAATCTGACCCCCATTTGAACCGCAAGCTGGAGAAGTGAAGCAGGGAGGTACTGCGGGTGGAGGGGTCCTTAGCGGGGCTGGGTGCCCCCACTTTGAATTCACTAAGCAAGCCAGTTTTGTTTGATACAGATATTCTGGGTTCTGTGCTGGCTACCTAGTATAGGTAACATAGCAAACCCAGCTTCAGAGAGACATTTAGATTAGCAGATTAACTACATGCATGCAAGGGTCTATTTAGCTGAGCTGGTAAGCAGTGCTTCTACCTACCCCAGGGGACTGCCAGGCCAGGCAGCCTCGCAGAAAAGCACCGTGGAAGAGAGAAATGGAGGGGGCTCTACAAAAGAGGTAGCAACAGCAAAAAGAACTGGGGGTCTCAGAGGAGGGGTGCTGGCTGGGGACAGGGGACAGCCAGACAGAGAGAGTGTTTAAATCCTCACCCCCATGAGAAGCTGCTCAGGTTCCTATGTGGAATGTTCTAGAGGCCAAAGAACGAACGTAGAAAGTGGTAGTAAGTCTTGTCATGTCAACTGCTGTTTGGGACACCCAGGGGTCCTCTGGATCACCCTCTCCAACCTCCATCTTCAGGCAGCAATACTCTTCTTCCTCCTCCAGGGTGCTCAGTCCACTGCACCCTGTGGCCAGGACCTTGGGCGCATGCATGGAATCTGTACATCCTAGTCAGTTTCCTTTAGAGCAATAAAGTTTCGTTTTATACAGTTTACTTCTCTCCTCCATTCTCCCCAACTTCCACCCAGTCCCAGGGATAGGAAAGAGCCCTTGGACTTGGGGATGAAGCTACTTTCGAAGTGTGACATAGGCTGAAGCTGAGGTTGAGAAAGGGTGGAGTTGCTGGTGGCAACTGTTGTCAGGAAACCATGGGTGTGGGGGGGAGTGCTCACGTTAGGATTCTACTTGTAGCCACCAGAGGGCGCCTCCAGCCTTCTTAAGTTAGTCTGAGCACACACACAATCACGGTCGCTCATAACAGGCATATCACACTCGCTCCTTGGTCACTCAGCCCACATCCCCAACGCTGTGTTCACACAAGACCTGCTATTCATACGCTCACTCATGCACACTCATGGTAAAGTAAGTATATAGCCACTCTAGAGACTGCTCACATCCCAGCCTCACCCAGCAAGCAATGCCTTCAGCTCTGTCCAATACCCCCCCCACCCCGAATTTTTTCACACCAGCCCTAAGAAAGATGCTGGGACACCCTAAGTGGACCTAAGCCCAAGGTGCCAGTCCTGGGGAGGCAGAAGCACAGACTCAGCTTTAAGGCTCTGCTCACAGCCCCGATCCAAGTGCAATCGTCACCTACAGTTGAAGGGAAACCAATATCCCAAGCCACACCAGAATATGAAGCGGAGCCTTGTGCAAACATAGACGAGTCCTTGGGAACATTTAGTGACCATTAAAACCAATGCCAAGAGCTAGAAAGTCAGGAGTCAGTGGGCTGACAGCCAATGAGAGCAAAGAGGGGTCAGGGTGCCTCGCAAACACAACAGGCTGTGGTTCACCTTTGCTCCCTGTGGCCGTTAAGGGGTGGGTGAGTCAGCCCAGTTTAACGGCTCTGGGCTAAGCTGATCACTTCCTGAACCATCCCGTTCCCCAGAATTAAATCACTGCCTCGTCATTTCGCAATACACTTTCAACACACACTTCGATTCAACTTTAAGAACTTCTGCCTTATCATCAATACAATAGGACCTGTGTGAGCCCAAGTCCCAACAGAAAGAGCATGAATGGGTCATGCTTTGTAAGCTACGCGGGGCACAGAACCAGCCAGGAGACCCGCTTCTGGCCGAGTCTGTGAGGGACTGTCTGGATTGGGCTAATAGCAGGCAGCCCCTCAGAGACCAAGGTCCTGGACTGAATAAAGAGGAGAGAGTAAACTGAGGAACCAGTTTTGAGCTTCCTAGCTGAAGTCCTCATGTCCCTACTGCCCATGTCTTCCTTGTCATAACAGATCGCAGTCTCAAACTGAGACAATATAAGCCCAATATAAGCCTTTTCCTCCTCAGGTTGCTTCGCAGGTGTTTGGAAAAGCCATGTGAAAAATACCTACTACTGTACCTAAGGAATGGTACTGTCACCTGGGGTGAGGGATGGGATTAGTACCAACGTAAGAATGAGATTTAAGTAGAGGATACATTTCACACGCGCGCACGCGCACACACACACACACACACACACACGAGGCAATAATCCCCACCCCACCACTACACTCTCCCTCCGCCTCTGGTTCACGGTTCACCTGCCAGTGGCTCACACTGACCCAACCCAACCGGAAGGCAGTGCACAGGGGGGCCTGCTGAGTCTGTGGGTGCAGGTGAGCCTCCCAGGGCTCAGAGCAGGGTGGGGCAGGGTGGAGAGTCGCTCTGGGGGGGGCAGAAGGACTCAGCTCTGCGCTTGGAACTGTTCATTCTGGGAAGACTGCTCGGGAGATCAAAGGAGACAGGAGGTGAAACATTAGCGCACTGTTGTAGGGCCAGGAAATGCCTAGGAGAGTCTCTAGTGATTGGGCTCTATCCACGCAGCTCTAGGAGAGTCTCTAGTGATTGGGCTCTATCCACGCAGCTCTAGGAGAGTCTCTAGTGATTGGGCTCTATCCACGCAGCTCTAGGAGAGTCTCTACTGATTGGGCTCTATCCACGCAGCTCTAGGAGAGTCTCTAGTGATTGGGCTCTATCCACGCAGCTCTAGGAGAGTCTCTAGTGATTGGGCTCTATCCACGCAGCTCTAGGAGAGTCTCTAGTGATTGGGCTCTATCCACGCAGCTCTAGGAGAGTCTCTACTGATTGGGCTCTATCCACGCAGCTCTCGGCCAGGCCTGGGCAGTTACAAAGGTCTCTGCCTGTTTGTTACTACAGATTTCAGGATTTTCCCTCTTTTTTTCCCTTCCTTTAATTTATTTTTTTTAATTTTTTAAAATATTTATTTATTATGTATACAATATTCTGTCTGTGTGTATGCCTGCAGGCCAGAAGAGGGCACCAGACCCCATTACAGATGGCTGTGAGCCACTATGTGGTTGCTGGGAATTGAACTCAGGACCTTTGGAAGAGCAGGCAATGCTCTTAACCTCTGAGTCATCTCTCCAGCCCCTAATTTTTTATCATGTTTATATATGTCTGTGTGGAATGTGTTTGTTCATATGAGTGCAGGTGCCCACGGAATCCAGAAGAGGAGGTTAGATCCCCTGTGAGCCTCCTGATGTGGGTGCTGGGAACCAAACTCGGGTCCCCTGCAAGAGCAGGAGGTACTCTTACCCACTGAGCCACCTCTCCAGCCACGCCCCACTAATAAACAAACAAACAAAAACAAAATAAAACAAAAAAGCATGGTTTCAATAACTTGTTGGCTAGGAAGCGGTGGTGTCCCCTTCCCCTCCTCAGTGCTGGGACTGTGTCAGGTTTGAACCTGTGCAATCCGTCCTTGTGTGTGCTGTCTTGGTCTCTGTGAGCTCATATGAGCACCAGTCCTCTTGTGTCTGGATGACACTGTTTCCTTTGGAGTCCTCCCCCACGTTTCCTCTAATTCTGCATAGATCACTAAGTCTCAAAGGGAGGGTTTAATAAAGACATACCTGCTGCGTGAAGGAAAATTATGTTTTCCAATGGATTGTCACTGGGCATATCTACCACATTCCGAGACAGCCCCAGGCCCAGGGGGAGTTGGCCAATACAAAAGGAACTCCGTGCTTTTTGAGTGTTTTTTGTTTCCTTTTGGAATTTTTGTCCTAATGTTTTGTTTAAGCTTTCTTATTGTTTGTTTGGGTTTTTTTTTTTTTTTTTTTTGGAGAGAGAAAGAACATGACTTTGGGTGGGTAGAGAGATGGGGAGGATCCAGGAGGTGTTGGAGGAGCAAAAAGAATGACCAAAATTATATTGCATTAAAAAAATTAATAAAAAGAAATTTAAAAAGTTTCATGTCACCCAGGCTAGTCTTGAACTTGCCATGTTGCTGAGGATGACTTTGAACTTCTGACCCTCCTGCCTCCATTCCCTGCGTGTTGGGTCACAGGTGTACACCATCGTGCCTTGCTTTTGAAATGCTGAGGATTAAGCCGAGATCTCTTTGCTTGTTAGGTGTGAGGGTCTGAATGAGGATAGCCCCCATAGGCTCATATATGTGAATGTTTGGTTCCCAGTTGGTGAACTGTTTGGGAAGAATTAGAAGGTGTGATCTTGTTGGAGTAAGTATGTCACTGGGGGTCCAACTCATGTCATGCCTGTCTGCCCCCCACCATGTTTCCCACCATGATGATAATGGACTAACCCCCCGAAACTGTAAGCAAGCCCCCAACTAAATGCTTTCTTTTATAAATCGCCTAGGTCATGGCGCTTTGTCACAGCAATAGAACAGTGGCTAAGATACTAGACAAGCACTCTCCCAACTGAGCCTCCTTCCTAACCCCTCCAGCATCTTCCTGGGTGGTGTCAGATGTCTAGCAAAGGCTGGCACAGAAGTCACTGCAATTAGAAAACATCAATTCTTCCAGGGGGGACCTGAGGGAGGGCTCGGTAGACTGAGATCTTGGCCCTGCTCACATTTCTCCAGGATGGAAGCCAAGTCCACCCGGGGGGGGGGGGGATATCCTTTGCCTGCCTCCTCTGGATCGTGCTGGCATAGAGCCAAATTCGTCAGGATTTTAATGCACACTAAAGACCTACTGAGATGTCCAGCCTTGTGGACTGGATCATTAGATTTTCTGCTGGCAGATGGCCATTGGTGGGTTAGCGGGACCACAGCCTGTGAGCCGTTCTAATGAATCCCCTTTCTATACGTAGATAGATTCGTTCTGTAAATTCTGTTCCTCTAGAGAACCCTGACTAATCCAGATGTTGGTACCAGAAATGGTTCTAGAGCAATAGAATTAGAGGGATAAATTTTTCTTCAAGTTGCTGGAATAACTTTCCAATTTGTTAACTTTTTGTAAACAAATTGGAATAACAAATTGTTAATAAATTGGAATAACTTTATAAATAAATAAAGTTATTCCAATTTGTTAACACCTACAGCTAACAGTTCCTGAAGCCTTTCCTGGGATCTCAGAGAGTACCAGAAAGTCACAGTATAAACTATGTTACAAACTTAAGGAGGCAAATGCATTTGGTTCTCCTGACTCACCAACTGTGAGGCGTTATATAAAACTTCTGGCAGTTTGCAAAAGTACGAGGAAAATGGTGTTGATGTTGGTTGCTCCTACCGTCTCTGGATTAATTGACAAAGGAAAATAATGGGCTCCACAGACTCAGCACAATGCCCATCAAAATCCCAGCAAAATTCTTCAAAGACCTCGAAAGAACGGTACTCAACTTCATATGGAAAAGCAAAAACCCAGGATAGCCAAAACAATCCTGTACAATAAAAGAACTTCTGGAGGCATCACAATCCCTGACTTCAAACTCTACTACAGAGCTACAGTACTGAAAACAGCCTGGTATTGACATAAAAACAGACAGGAGGACCAATGGAAACGAATAGAAGACCCGGATATCAATCCACACATCTTCGAACACCTGATATTGGATGAAGAAGCCAAAAAATATCAAATGGAAAAAAGAAAGCATATTTAACAAGTGGTGCTGGCATAGCTGGATATTAACATGTAGAAGAATGAAAATAGACCCATATCTATCACCATGCACAAAACTCAAGTCCAAATGGATCAAAGACATCAACATAAAGTCAGCCACACTGAATCTTATAG